AGCCACCTTGCAGCCTGGAAATCTGAAATGTTTTTGTAAATTTTAACCAACAAATCTTGAAATGCAAGAGGTCAGCCGACTTCTAGACTCCTTGATTATAAGGAGAGCTTGCGCAACTTTTGCTGAACCGTAGCTGAACAGCAGCCACTTTGGCCATAAATGGAAATGACAGAACAAAGTAACTGTAGCTGCAGCGAACACTGATCAGAGCCCATAATATGAACATTTAAAGCTTGATAATTCTATTTTTTTGGAACAGAATACAACAGAATACAAAATATACTTTTGGTTGTGATCACCTGGTGGAGAGGAGAAGGTGTTATTTAGGGATTCAAGATGCACATCCCTCAGGTTTTACTAAGGAATGGATATCACGATAATACCTTTTTAGTGTAGCTAATGTTCAAGATATTTATAATACTATGATCACATCTACTAATGTTTTCTGTTTTTTTTTCTATCTTAGAGAATCTGCCCTGCTGATTTAGCAGTTTTTTGAAACAGCATTTATGACCCAATCAAAGTGACAAGCTGTGCAGATATTCTTCACAAAATGAAAGTAAATGTTTGCTATTTTTGAAGCACAACATTATGATAGATTGCAGATGTTGCCGGCTTGTCTGCAGTCAGTAACAGAGGAAAGGGTGGAATGGTATTACTCCACTGAAGCATGGCTTTCAAATACATGACTTTGATAAATAGGAAAAGGTAGCTCTCTGCTGCATAAGTCGCTTACTTGTACAACAAGAACTTTGTTACTTACCTGCATCTTGCTAAAAACACAATTACATCAATAACACAAGGATTGACAAGTGAAAAATAATACACAATCAGCCAAAAAACTAATTAAAATCACATTTTGCCTGCTAGAAATTAAGCTTTTTCTTTCATGCACCACCTTTCTATCTGGCTTTCAAACCAAATTATCCAAATTAAGGATGATATCTTAAAGGGGTATTACACTGATTTAATATCGCAGATCCATAAAGCTGAGGAACTCATGAGATGAAAGAGGACAGTCCGAACTGAGGCAGTAGAGGCTGAGATATCCTAAATCTTAGTCCATAGATAGTGTCCAACTCCCACAAGGCTCAAACCTACATATGCCAATAATACTCTATGGTACCTTCCTGCCAAGTACACACCCAAATTCAATGCTTGGGGGTATTTTTCAAATTCAAAACCCCCATTTTGTGACACAGATTTATAAATGTGTCTCTCTGAAGACATATAATGCAACTTAAAGGTCCAGTGTGTAGGATTGAGTGGCATCTAGTGGAGAGACTGCAGATTTCTACCAACTGAATACCCCATGCCACACCCTCCGCTTCCAAGCTTACAAAAGAACTTCCATCATTTGAACATAAAAAGGGGAAAGACCCTCTTTAGATTAGGAAACACGCTGGCACAACAAGGTGGGCTCTGTCGAGGAGAACCTGTTCTCTCTGTAGGTAAGAAGGGCTCTTTCTAAAGGTAATGAAAACACAATGATGACTTTTGATTCTACATTATTTGTAAATACTATATTCCATTTCTCCTAAAAGAATCCTTAAATCCTACCCAATGGTCCTTAAACACAACGGTTCGCCTCAAGATGATTACACTGACATTGGACTGGCAGAACGTCTGTGCCACTTTTTTCTTCAGCAGTAGGTGTCACTCTTGCACACAGCATCCCTGCAGATACTGTATCCCAAAACATGAAACGCAGACAGACAGACAGTTTGGAAGACACACCACTGTGCATGCATGCCTATCTCTGACTTGACATGCTGACAGCTACCCTTGTTTTTCTGAACTCTATCGCTCTCCCACAACATGCCTCTACCTGCGCTCTCCGCCTCCTGAGAGCTCATGTTAATTCCTGCGCTGTGATTTGCTGCTTTGTGAGGGGTACTGTGTGCCCACCGCACAATCCGATTGGCTTGTTTAAGGGCCCTGTAGGTTTGAGGGGGAGCGGGTTTCCACTATTACCACAAGGAGAAAGTGAGAAGCAGACTTAATGACAGAGGTAACTTAGACGAGAGCAGCTGCAAAGAAGGAAAAACAGAGGGAAAGAAAGAAAAGGAAGAAACAGAATGAGATAGAGGTAGCAGGGAGGAAGAGAGAAGAAGAAGAAGAATCCCAGAGTGCCACGGTGTAAACAGGTAGGTGTTACATACTGAAGCTGCTGCAAGGCAAACAATGCAAGCCTCTCAGTTTGCGTGTCTGGTAAGCTGCTTTGTAAACGTCAACTGATGTCTGACTGATCCTTCATTTGTGTTTTCTTCGAAACTTTTGTGCACAGAAACGTGTACAAGCATGTGTGCGTGTCTGTTTGTGTGTGTGCTGGTATGTAATCAGTATCTTTTCTCCCCTTTGTTGTTGAGACATGAATAATCGCTCTATCGCCTGGTGGCTGAGACAGATCGGCCTGCCCCAGTACATCAAGACACTAGAGAGTGAATACTACGGTCTGGAGGTATGTGAATGCCTCTCTGTGTCTTTGCTGGTGTCTCTTCTTTGTTTTTTTTTTCTATTTTTTTTTGTGCTCTATTCCTTTCCCGCTGTCTTCTGTTTGTCTGCAGGGTTTGCTGAACGTAACCGATGGAGAGCTGAAGGATGCAGGCATAGAGGATGCAACACACAGAGAAACCATCCTCAATCAGCTTTCAAGACACCGGCTGAGGCTGGACCCGCACTCTGGTGACACACAACAGCCGCGCACAAGAGCACCTACACACAAAGCCTCGACAATAACTCAAACCGTAAAAAAAAAGGCTCTCATTAAATGTTTATCAAGTGGAAATGTTTTGTATTGGACCGCATCCAAGGCTGATTACTAAGTGGCCACCACAGACAAGTGGGCTCCAGAGGCCGGGACAGCTTCAGGCTAATGTGTATGAACACATGCTTGTACTCATTTATTTGAGAAATTGTTGCATTAAACATTTAGAAGTCAAGCACAACATGCAGAGAGCAGTGTCTGTTGGGTTTATTTGTGCTGAGCGTGACAAGCCGGTTTATCAAGTCAAACGATATGTATTTGTGGTTTCCTTCACTTGTTCCTCATGTGCTGAGTTTAACTGAAAAAACTGTCTGTGAACACAGACAAAGGACTGAATGAATGAAGATGCACAAGTTAATCAGTGTCATGTGCTGTATATGTATGTGTCTGTGCACATCAATTAAAGGCACAGTTTTTGGGAAATACACATTTGTGACTCAAAAATAGGGGAAACACAC